GAGTTGACACTCAACCCACTGAGCTATACCAGCCAGGCTACACATATATTTTAATATATATATATATATATATATATATATATATATATATACACACTATATTTTTATTGTTGTTGTTGTTGTTGATTTCAGAGAGGAAGGGAAAGAGAGAGAAGTGGAAACATCAATGATGAGAGAGAACCATTGATCAGCAGCCTCTACATGCCCCACACTGGGGATTGAGCCCTGACCAGGAATCCAACTGAGACCTCCTGGTTCATAGGTCGACACTCAACCACTGAGCCAGGCCAGTTGGGCTATACTTTTTTTTTAATCTTCACCTGAGGATATTTTGATTTAAATTTAAGTTAAATTAAATTAAAATTTTTCATTGATTTTTAGAGAGAGGGAAAGACAGAGAGAAATATAGATATGAGAGAAACACATCAATTGGTTGCCTCCTGCACAAACCTCGACCAGGACCCCGGCAGGGTACGTGCCCTTGACTGGATTCGAATCTGGGACCCTTCGATCTGTAAGCTGACACTCTGTTCACTGAGCCAAACCAGCTAGGGCACTTTTTAATTTGGTATTGTACTGTACAGTAAGTCCTCAAGGATGTCAATAGGTTATGCAACTTAAGTGAAACAAGGTATACCAATATTATCATAGGTTAATTGATATAAATGGCATCTCATCAATATTGAATGAAACAGTGTTATTCAAGAACCCACTGGATAGAAAACTTTACATATTAACTTCTGCTCCTAATTATGAACTATGATTAAAACTGAGAAAAAGAGTGAAACAGCTATTTGAAGGTGCTGGGAAGCAACCAAAAAAGGCAGGATTTGGGGGATCAGATTGAAGTACAGAGAGAAAAAGGATGGGAAACACACAGAAAAGATAATGAAGGTCTAACACACATGTAATAGGACTCCCAGCAAGAAAGAAGAAAGAGAATGGGTCAGACCAAAACTTGATGAACGAATACTGAAAATTTCCCAAAATTAAAATAAAATATAAGTCACAAACTTTAGAAGCTCTAAAATTCAAAACTGGATAAGCAGAAAGAAAATCTCCCCCTAGGCTGTCATAGTATAGCTTCTAAAAGACACAGTCAAAAACATGATTAAAGAACAATTACAGCCCTGGTGTGGCTCAGTTGGTTAGAGCATCCTCCTGTACACAGAAAGGTAGCTAGTTCAACCCCCAGTCACGGCACATAGTTGCAGGTTTGATCCCAGGTTGGGATGCATGGGGCGGGGGAGCGGGGAGCAACCGATTGGTGTTTCTCTCTCACTCAATGTTTCTAAAATAAACTCTTTTAAAAAGAACAATTATAGAAAAAAAGCAAATTACTTTCAAAACAGCTACAGTAAGACAGAAAACCACATCTCCAATAAATAACAATGGAAGCAAAAAAGTAGAAAAATATTAGAACTGTTGCAATAAAACAACTGAAAGTTTTGAATTTCAGATCCAGTGAAACATCCCTCAAAAATGAAGGGGAGCCCTGACCATGTGGCTTAGTTGGTTGGAGCATCGTCCCATACATCAAAAGATTGCCAGTTCTATTCCCAATGAGGGCACATACCTGGTTGCAGGTTCAATCCCTAGTGGGGACACATAAGTGGGTAAAGGAAAGTTTGTATTTCCATCCCTAGAGGCTTCTTCTGCTGGCTACTTCCAGTCAGAAGCCCAGACCCTCTCCTCTAAAAATGCATCATAGTCCTAGCTGGTTTGGCTCAATGGATAGAGCCTTGGCCTGCGGACTGAAGGGTCCCAGGTTCTATTCCAGTCAAGGGCACGAGCTTCAGTTGCAGTTCAATCCCCAGTGGGGGGCGTTCAGGAGGCAGCCAATCAATGATTCTCTCTCATCATTGATGTTTCTAATTAAAAATAAATAAATAAACCCTATCTAATAAAGAGGGGATATGCTAATTGACCCTCACACCATCACAAAGATGGCAGCTCCCACAGCCAATAAGGAGGGAATATGCTAATTGGCTTCCCTGCCCTCAAAGAGGGCAGTGCCCACAGCCAATAAGGAGGGAATATGCTAATTGCTGCCCCACCCTCAAAGATGGTGGTGCCCACAGCCAATAAAGAGGGAATATGCTAATTGACTGCCCCGCCCTCAAAGATGGTGGTGCCCACAGCCAATAAGGAGGGAATATGCTAATTGACTGCCCTGCCCTCAAAGATGGTAGTGCCCACAGCCAATAAGGAGGGAATATGCTAATTGACTCCCTGCCCTCAAAGATGGTGGCACCCACAGCCAATAAGGAGGGAATATGCTAATTGACTGCCAGGCCCTCAAAGATGGTGGTGCCCAGTCCCCTCAGCCCCACTGGGGTAGCAGGCACATGGCAAGGCCAGGCCCACCCTCAGGCGGGCTCAGCTGCTCCCCGCCTACCTCTGGAGTCCAACAGTCCCCTCAGCCCCCCAGCCACCCAGAGCCACCTGAGGCTCAGGTAACCAGGGCCTCCCGAGGCTTGCGCTGCCCGCAGTGGCAGCAGCAGAGGTGTGATGGGGCATCGCCTTCCCCTGATCGCCAGACTGTGTGCTCCCGGACTGTGTGCTCCCGCCCTGAGGGCTCCCAGACTGTGTGCTCCCGCCCTGAGGGTTCCTGGACTGTGAGAAGGGGCAGGACGGGCTGAGGGACCCCCCATCCAGTGCATGAATTTTCATGCACCGGGACTCTAGTAAATAAATAAAAATGCATCATAAATGACTAAAAATGCACTATATTGGAGCATTTGCCTGATCTTGTAAAAGGAAAATAAAAGGAAACTGGGTAGAATTCTGTGGTTTTAATTGCTCACTCTCCCAAAGGGAAGGTGGAGGAAGAAAATAGGAATTGGAGAGAACTAATATTTAGTCTATTTCACTCAGTCCCCAAAGGGGAGGTGCCCAGGCGAGTTCCACTTAGAGAGTAAGAAGTCCAAGCTCCTGAGTCAGAGGTTGGAGCCCAGGCAGGCCCCTGCGCTGTCACTGAGCAACACCCCTGAGACTGCAGGGTGGTCCTCTTAGGGCAGCGGTTCTCAACCTTCCTAATGCTGTGACCCTTTAATACAGTTCCTCATGTTGTGGTGACCCCCAACCATAAAATCATTTTCGTTGCTACTTCATAACTGTAATTTTGCTACTGTTATGAATCATAATGTAAATATCTGATATGCGGGATGTATTTTCATTGTTACAAGTTGAACATAATTAAAGCATAGTGATTAATCACAAAAACAATATGTAATTATTTATGTGTTTTCCGATGGTCTTAAGCGACCCCTGTGAAAGGGTCATTCAACCCCAAAGGGGTCGTGACCCACAGGTTGGTGACCCACAGGTTGAGAACCGCTGCCTTAGGGGGGAGGTTCAGGCAGTGTTTAAACAACTTGCAGTGTTTTAGGAAACAT